TATGAAGTATTATACAGCTTGCATCAAGGAATATTAAAACTTGTTGATTCATCGAAGCTTTGGGATACGATATATAACCTGTTACAATATTAGTAGTTATATAATAAATAGTTAATATTATATGTTGATCAATTAAAATTTTCATGTAGGTTTCAGAACAGTACTGTTATATTTCACAGTCTTTTGTAAAAGAATTTGTAAGGAACTGCACAACATGTGCTACACGAAGAAATTTCCCAAATCTAGTAGCTGCAAAGCCGATAATCTCAAATGCTTTTCTCAATAGGGTTCAAGTGGATTTAATTTCTATGACCAGTATTCCTGATGGTGATTATCGTTACATATGCCATATCTGCGATCATTTTACATAGTATTCATGGGCTCGTGTTATAACTAGTAAATGACCAATTGAAGTGGCTATATTTCTTTTTGACATTTTCGTCTGCTTCAGTACCCCGATTATTCTTCAGACCGATAATGGTCGTGAGTTTACTGCGGAGGTAATACATGAATTATTGACTATATGGCCCAATGTCCACATTATTAATGGTCACCCAAGGCATCCACAAAGCCAAGGGCTTGTAGAATGTGCAAATAACATTCTTCAACAAAAGGTGTCCAAGTGGATAGAGGATACACAAAGAAAAGATTGGTCACGTGCTGTGCCATTGTGTTGCTGTATGTATTTGAATTAAATTTTATTAATATTAATAACTTAATAATTACAATTTTTGATTTTAGATACTATGAACATACAAACATCATGGCAAACTAAAAATAGCCCGTATTCATTAGTATTCGGTCAAAACCCTTTACATTATTTTTTATTATTAAAAGAAGTCAAAGGGCAACGTATTAATTATGAAGACGAATTACCTGATAATTGGTTTGAACCTTCTGAGCCTCAGGATACTTTCGATCGGCAAGAAATTGTGGAATCACTTTTAGGAGCCACAGCTTTGAATATGGAGATAACAATTTTTTTTTGTCAGTCCTATGATATCTAAGCTAATCGGTCCAAATATTAGGCTAAATGCTAGTGTCAAAAGAAATCGATTTTAGCATATTAACACTAAAATTAATTCCTTTTAACACTAGTATTCAGTCTAATATTTGGGCCATTTAGCTTAGATATCACGTGACTGATGAATTTTTGTGTACTTTTTCCTATAAAATAATTTTTTTTTTTTTAATTTAAAATAAATTATTTTAGGAACAACAATTACTGGAACATATTAATGAGGAGGCGAATAAAATAGTTGATAGAGAGATGAATATGGATAAAGAGATGGATAAAGTAATAGATGTGAATAAAGAGGTGGACAAAGTGATAGCTGTGGATAAAGAGATAGACAAAGTGGTATATGTAGATAAAGAGATAGACGAAGTGATATATGTAGATAAAAAGATAAATGAAATAGTGAATGTGGATAAAGAGGTAGACGAAGT